GACCAATTTGTTTACACAAACGATATCGTTGACGCGGTTAAGAGTCCATCCAATCCATTTCGTTCCTAATACGTGTAGACTTTGGTCAACCTCTTCCCTTTGATCTTTGGTCGTGAGGTACTAACTTCCATTCATTCAAAGTTAAAATGTTGTCATTTCCAAGTGGCCACCAATAAGATGAATACACATTAACAACAATAAACAAGATCAACCTATTGCCAATAATTTATACTCACATATGCGTAAGCAGCTATGACATATGAGCATGAATAGCAATATGCCTGAAACTTTCCGCATTCACAAAATCTATTGGATAATATCATAGTCCCCTTGTTACCACTTTGTTGTGTGACAAGATTAAATGTCTTTTCTACTTCAAATCTTATTCTTTGAATGTCATATCGTTGAACTTGATGTGAAAGGCTTCCTGTTGATTTTTTTTCCATTTGCTGCATTAACTTACAACAATATTTATTACCATTATTAAGTTATGTCGTTGCTTTTTCACCACGTTTGACAAAATACTCTACTAAACGTGCTATGTACTTTTGACTAGTGCTGTTATAAGTAAATTTCTTGCACCTTTTAAAAGTTTATTCACATCCTTAGATAAATTGGTAGTCATATGCCCACAACGTCTTCCTTCGTGGTTATAAACTAAAGTCTATTTTTCTTTAGAGATGCAGTTAATTCAACTTTTTATATCCTCTGACTTGTTACAAAAACCGTTCAAGTTTTTCTACAAATCTTTGCTTGCATGTTGTATATCCTATTAAAAGAAATCAATAATATTGTAATTGAAAATATTCTCCAAACCATAATCAATGAATAATAAATGGACTTATTATTAAAACAACAATCGTACCTAATTTTATTAGCTCCTTCTTCAAAATTGCATTCTTAAATCGTTGATTAAAATTACTTGCTATGTGACGAATGCAATACACATGATATGCGTTTGGAGATTGACACCCAATATGTGGATTAGAAATTGCACTTTTAATACTTTAATGTCTGTTAGAGATCAAACAAATACCTGCCTTTTTTTAGTTACATGAAGATGGATAAGAGTCAAAAATCATTCTCATGCTGACAAAGTTTGCCCTTCCACAATTGCAAAGGCAATTGAAAACACACAGTTATTTTCATCCTGAGTGGTAGCAATCAGTAAAGTTTGTATGTACTTACTATATAAGAATGTATCATCTACCTATATTAATGGTTTGCAAAAATTGAAAGTAGTGATGCATTGTTTGAATGACCAAAATAACTGATGAAACACTCTATATCTGTTATCTACTTGATGACTCCTCACATAGTCATTGGTTTCAATTTTGTATATTTGAAAATATTATTAGTTAAAATATTTTATGTACGGTCTGAAAATTTTTAAGGGATACCTCAGAATTTACTTTAATGGTATTAGGATGGGAATCAACAACCATTCTAATATACAATAATAAAAAAAATTAGTCATCCTGCATCAACAAATTATATTACTCAATTAGAACATATATATTTATTAAATTGTTAATAACACAACGTAAAAAGTTAAATAAATTATATTAATTTGTTCAACACTACCATACTAAATTAAATATTGACATTATTTCCACTTATATTTCTTAACTCATTGATATTCTTTAAATTAAATTAATATTATTTCTAAATAACAATACTAATTACACGACAATTTTACATGCACTTGTATTTTGTTACATATTTTTACATTTGTATTCTTTGTAAATTTATTATTCATAATGGTTGACCACATTCATATTTAAATTACAAATACAAAATTCCACAATTTTTCCTACATTTTAATAACTACTCATGCTTCATTCAATTATATTAATTATTTTTATATATTTTTTATCTTCAAACGTGTCATGTTTGATACATAATATAATGTATTACTACGGATCCAAATCCTATGCAATTTTGGAAGGAATTGCAGCCTGCAATTTACATTCGCTTAAGCCAGAAATAGTGGTGAAAAAAACCAAAAAATAAGAAAATAAAAAAGAGAGAAAGGAAGACTAAGAGGGAGATAGAGGCAAGAGCGGAAGGGAGAGGTAGGGTGAGGGAAAGTAGAAGAAGGAGGGAAAAAGGCTGGATGAGGAGAGAAGGGAAGAAGAGAGGAGGAAAGAGACTGGGTGAGGCTGAAGGAAGAAGAGATGGGGAAAAGGAAGGAGGTTGGGTGGGGGTGAAGGGGAGGAGATGGGGTGGGGTGAAGAGGAGGAGATGTGAAAAGAGTGAAGAAGAAGAAAAGGAGGTTGGAACGAAGAGGGAAGATGGAAAAGAAAGGGGGATTGCAGCTTGCAGTTTCGCTTAAGCAAAAATGAAATTGCAAGCTGTAATTCTCACGCAAACTGCAGATGATCTGTTTCGGTATTATTACCTGCTTGTACATCCTGATTTACATAATTTCTACACTTATTCTTTTCAAAGTTCTTTTAAATAAGAATTTAATATTTTTATATTTAATTAACAGCTACAACAATACCTAAATTTAAAATACAAAATACTCTCATTAATAGGATTTATATTTTACATTTTTTTCCTAATTTTGTTTCATAAAAAAATTATAATAAAATATAAAAATACATTTCTACCAACAAATTCACATAAATATTATATTAAAAACATTTTAAATCTACACATATTTTTTACTACTAATGAATTTTAAATTTACACTAATTTTTTACACTAATAATAGATAAATATTAAAAAATTAATAATTAAATTTACTAACCTCAAATATCTTCTCCTGCTCCTCCAACGTCACTTGTAATTTTTGCATAGACTCATATTTATAGCAAGTGAAAAGTTGGATAATATCCATGACATAATTATAAACTAGTGAATATATAAGTAACTCACGCTACGTGTTAGTATAAGGAGAGTATCGTCTATCTCAAAACAATAAAGCTGATATACTTTGACCACCGACATCGCTATCATCTCCTTGTGTCCAAATACTACTATGATCGTAACATGTGTCGAACAAGTGATGTGTATCAGCGTAAAATGTTAAATAGTTCATTAAATATTAATAAAAAATTATTATCGCTGGTGCATGGTTGATACTGTTGTTGATATATCAAAAATTGTATCAGACAGAGAATTAATTTAAAATAAATATTATTTTAGAAATTAATTTTTAAAAAAGTATTATTTAAATAAAAAGCCAACACTTTTGTAGCGAAGATGAGAGAAATAGTGTGTTACAATTTTATAATAAAAATTACCTACCTAATGCTCAATTAAGTTTCATGCATCCTAAACATAGTTTAGTGTAATTTATTGTTTTAAAAGGAAAATAAATGGATGGCTCACTGTTACTAATGTATTTTGATTATTGTGATGTGATCAAAAGTGTTTTAGATAGAATTCACTTTTTAGATAGAATTGTATGTAAGAATCCTGTTTACACAACTTATGAATAGTGAACTTAATTTGAATTGTATGCTCGGTAACTTGATTTTGTTGTTTCATTAACTATTACTTAATTTATTTTTATATTTATTTTTTAATTTAAATTTTCTTTATTTTATTTTAAATTTCTGTTTAAAATTTAATAAAAATTTAAAATAAACTGAATAGCTTGGGTTTAAATAATAATAATAATAATAATAATAAATTAGAATAAGGGATCATACAAAAGGAAAAGATAACGAACTAGAGAAAAACAAAAACGATTAACAAATTATATATGAAATTTTTAGATAAAAATTAAAATTTAAACAAAATTTCAATCAATATTTTTTTGGTTCATTTTTATGTATTTTATTTAGATTTTAATTCTCACGCTAACATAGTATTACTATCTGTATTTTTCACTTATTTAGATTTAATTATTGTAATTTATTAGGGCATTGCTTAATACCTTTAACAATTGGTGTTTATGGTTGTCATTCAATCACTGGATACAGAGAGAAGTCATGAACATCTATAATGTAACATCAATTTTTGATAGATCAAGAAAGACACGTGTGAAAAAATTATAACACTAAAATACTATTAATCAAAATACGCATATAATATTGTATAATGCAGGCTACTTGAAGGAATGCGAAAGTTATAGAAAAATATAGCAGGAGCGATTCAACAAGTTCATATTCCTATGTATTTACTCATGGTACTTCATGCCAAAATATTTTGTATGCTTTTGTGTTGTGTAATTTGAGAAAGATTTTGACTAATAAAAGAAAATATATTTCCATTAATACTTCCATTTATATCTTAATATTGATATAGAGATGAAGTTAATTTAAATTAAAAATAAAATCATATTTAAAAGATTAAATTTAACTAAAATATAAATGGATGTTAAATAAAATAAAAAATTTTACTATGTACGAGAGAGTAAAAATTAATTATGTTTTCACTGTCACTAAGCTAAGTAAGTATTTTTTAAAAAGAAATATAAATAGGTTATATTTATTAGGTATGTAATAAAACATTTATAATAAATACGACAACAAAGATAAATATTTATAAAATTTGTTAAGTATTTTTTATTATGATTTACACGTTACAGAAAAATATATTTATAAAATAGGTTAAATTTATTTTTGTAAGTTCAATTTATTTTTAAATTTTAAAAAATATTTATTTAAAGAGAATATAATTTCTACGTATTTTAAAAAATTAAATAAATCAATTGTGTTTAAATTTTTTAAACAAGATCGTAACATTAAATCATAACATTTATAATTAGATTTGAAAACTAACAGCTATAATTTTCAATTTTAAAATAAGATTGTAATACTATTTAAAAGAGAGAAAAGAAAAATATATGCCACTACTGCTTAGTTATTGCGAAAATAAAACCAGATCCCTCGTCTCTAAGAGTTTCTTTCTCTCTCTCTCTCTGCAGTTTCTTTCTTTCCTTTAGGCATCACCCTTCCCCTCCACTCTCTCAACCACACACATTTTCACCCGCTCCCCTTCTCATCCCTTACAAATTTTGCAAAAAAAAATTGATACTCGCTTCTACTAGCAGCTCTTTCCTCTCAGGTCTTAGAGGACTGGTTACACGTCTCGGCAAGCACAAAACTCCAACACAGAAGGGCAGAGAGTGGTTATGGACTTAGAGGACTTAGAAGCCCCGGGGCAGGTCCCTTCACGAGTCTCCAAATTCGCGCCAAAATCATCAAAGCTCAAACCTAAACCGAAATCGGAACCTGCACCCAGACCTGAACCCGAACCCCAACCATCCTCCTCCAAGCCAGAGCCCCCTGAACTTGATTTACCTGTCAAAAAGAACGAAGATGAGGTGGAAACAGTGGCCTCGACTCATTCGAAACCCGAACCCAACGGTGCCGTCACAATGGACGTTGAACCCAAGTCAGAGACCGAAGGCGAAGCAGGACAAGGACAAGGCGATCCCATGGACGAAGACAGTGCTGAAGACACGGTCGTGCGCGAAATTGATGTTTTCTTCTCACCTTCTATCGATGCCGATACTCAGGTTGGTTTGCGTTGCTTGCGCAGTTAAATTCTGATTTCTTTTCAACTTCAAAGTCTAACTTTTTATTTGTTGCTTTTAGTTGTATGTTTTTCAGTATCCCTTGAGACCTTGTTGGCGACCATACGACTTAGATGAACAATGCGAAGAGGTGTCTTATTGAAATTTATTTATTTTTATTTTTGGGAGAAAAAAATATATGTAACCTTGTGAATTCAGTGTTTTTATATTGTGTAGGTTAGGTTGAAACCTGATGATTCTCAAGTGGAGGTTGATTTGTCAATTGATCTTGAGTCAAATAACATTGACAAAGAGTTTGCTGACAAATACAACATCACAAAGCAGGTTTGCTCATTATCTCTTACGGTGTTATAATTATGTATTTTCTTTGTGTATTATATAACTAGATTCAAGAGGACTTGTTGGATACTTGATGATTTAGAATCCTTGATTCATTCGCACGGTAGTTAACTTTTGCTCTAGCTGTGAAAACATATAGGGTATGTGTTATGTGTATAAGGGTATATGTTTACGAGTGTAAAAAAAAAAAAAAGAATCACGTTAATATAGCTGTATAACTCTCTAATGGTATTATGGAATTAGGAGTTTCATCGCCAGTGTTACAGTGTATAAAAAAAAAACTAAATGAACCCAAAGAGAAATTCCAGAAAGGAGAATCAGATAATCATTCCATCCACTCGCTCTTTTCCTTTTAACTGAATGCTATATACTATTTCCTTTCCACTCATAATCATGCAGCCTTGAGCTAGTTAGCTTGGTGCGTGTACTCCTCCTCCTTTCCTGCTCTTGTGTATCAGCAGCCATGTGTCTATTATCAATTGTTATGCCAATTGTCTCTTTTGCCCTCTTATCATTTCCATTCATTACAGTATGCTAAGAAAAATAACAACTTAGTTAAGCATTTGTCTAGTAAGTTCTCATTAGATAAGAGCTTGTCATTAATTTATCTCTAAAACTTTTTGAAACAAGCTAAAGGGAACTGATAGAGTTATAAGCCATTTTCATAAGTTCAAATAAGTTCCGCACAAGAAATTCCAAATAATAAATGGAGGGATGTAGGATGGGATTAGAATTAGCTAAAGTTATGCAATTTTATTAGGTTGTCAATGTTACTAGTACATGATAATTGATACACAGTTTGATTGGATGTGCACTCAAATTTTTACTTGTGAAAAGCTTGCTTCACCCATTTGCTGAAAATCTGCTGCTTTGCTCTAAAAAACATATTGTTTTCTTGAATGTTACAGAGCAGTACTAAAACTCTGCAATAGTACTTTTCTCTTGTTGAAAACATGAAAAGCTTGCATGTACGGACTATTAATGTTTCTTCTATGTTTTTAAATAGTTATTTTAAAAAGTTGACAACCAACATACAACTGTGCTAATTTTTTCGACCCCTTCATTTGAGCTTTGATCCATGCAGTTTATTCCACCTAGTGCAGTAATTCTTGGTTGGCGTTGTTCTTTGTTCTAATTTTTCTTTTTGTTCCTTGATATACCATGCCCTTTTGTTTTTTGAATTGGCTGACAAACTTTTAACAGATAAGAATATTCAAAGTTGATGCTAGCAGTTGAGTGCTTTGTGTACATGTGACTTGTTTTAGAAAAGCATAATATAGTCTAACTTGTAAGTTTGGTGCAATACTTTTAATTCTTGTCAGACTCTATCCACTTCGTGGAAGCCACCTCATGCAAATGGCTGTGCTGTTGGGATTCTTATGGGTGATAAGGTACTTGTGTTTCACGCTCTGTTTTGTGATGTCTAATCTAGTTTCAAGGGGATATATTACTTGAACAGCATTGTATTAGGTATGCCATTGCAACATGGAATACTGTTGTCCTTTACTCCTATTTATTATACATTTAATGCTTCTTCCAATAAATTAGGATGAGTGACTTTTACTGAATATACCTTGAGGTTGAGTTTCTTGTTTTTAGATGAGGTATATCTTATTCTGGTTTTGAAGAAAAGGATAAGCAATTACTTAATGTGTTTCTTAATGAAAATGTTCATTGAAAAGTGAATGCAGCAAGGATTGCACAGTATGCTGCCTTTAATAAGGCGTGATAAGGGGAAAAATAGGAAGATAAAAAAATGCAACATGCCTTGAAATTAATTTGGCTCCCCCCTCTCAGAAAACAAAACCTCAGAATGCCACCTTAAAAATAAAACAACAGAACAAGGTCATTTAAAAACACAATAGGTTGGTTGTGTGTTAGATGCTTACATGATTACCCAGCAAGCTTGATGTGCTTTTGTTTGTTTTCTTATTGCCGATTATATAGCATATAGCATTTAAAAATATAATTTGGAAAAAATTGTAAATTTTCCTGCCTTTTATTGTTTACAGTTGCACCTGCATCCAGTTCATGCAGTTGTGCAGCTCCGACCATCACTACAACATCTTAATTCTGGTGAATCAAAAAGGAAGAACATTATCCCCTCTGGTGCAAGTGCTAATGTCAAAATTGAGGGGTCAGTTGAAGAAAAGTCTGTTTCTACATCCAAGAAGCAGGTATCAAGTATATATACATTATTTTGTTACAGCAATTTTAAAAAGACTGCACAATTACAAGGTGCAGGAATTATAATTTCTTCAAAATGGCACTGATGTCTTAACAATCTTAAAACAATTTTCTACATTCTTTTTGAAAATGAGTAGATGGTGTGTTTTGAGTTGTACCAAAGTTTGTCTTTCCTTACAAGAATATTGAAAAGTTGGTTTAATAAATCCTTTACAGGCATGCATGCTTGGTGATTTTACTCCCTGCTCCCCTGTAAAAAAAGCCAAAAAAAAAAAAAAGAATTGATTGCTGTATAGTTGGGGGGAACATTGGATTTATTGTTCATAGATTGCAAAATTTAATATTTAGCCATTTGTGCCAACTCTACTTGAAATTAGAGACAGATTTTGTTCTCTCATCAGAGAGGGCTTGTACACAAGCTGTCTTTTTGCTTGATCACTAAATCTTTACCTATATAATTTTTGTCTGCTGCTTGTATTCTGTCAATTTGTATTGGGTCATTTCCAACTAGCTAATTGATTTCTTTTCTTTGTGGCAGAATAAGCTGACCGAACCTTCTATTGAGCAAAAGAATGGTGGTGATGAGGTATGCCAATTGTTAAAGCTGCAATGTAATTTACATGTATAACAGTGTTTACTCCTAGATTCATTGTAACGTAGGAATCTATACTGTTTATTCCTAGATTCCTCTTGTTTCAGATTTCCCTAAAATTCACTGAATCATCTGATTTCGTAGGTTTTTTTCACAATACCCAAGAAGCCACTATCTTAACATTGCTTGTCTTTTGCTCTTCCAGAACCCTTACCTCACATATATTCCAATGCGGTTTTGCTTTACCTACTTTCTACGCTTGAACCTGATAGCAGACCAATATTAAAGAAAGTATATACGAGGCAATATAAGAATAAGGTAGGAGACCAGAACCGGAACTAACTAACGTAGTTAGGACTGGTCATTAAGAGAATAAGGGATATAAAAGGAAGAGGAGGGAAAGCAGGGAACAGGTTGGTTTTTAGGAATTGGGTTGGGGGAGTATTCGGGGTCTCTAGGAGTAACCTGTACACATTTTACTGTTTCTACCTCGGGGTCACATTGACCAGAGGAGTTCTTGTGAATAATGCAGTTATTTTTCTCTTTCTTTCTCTTACTATACTGGACCAGTTTTATCAGAACCCTTACCCAAAACCTAATATAACCCATTAAATTGTAAAATTCTAATGCTTCCACTAGCTTCAATGAAGATGTTACTATTGCGACAAAAAAGAATGAATGTAGAAAAGATGGTTATTTCTGAACTTTCATTTAAGAAAGACCGAGTCACCCCACCTCAACGAAGGCATTGATATAAAAATATTTATTGAATAAAAAATGTACATTAAATCAATGCTATTCCCAATGCAACAATTGGAAACTACAACTTTGGTGAAAATGATTTCCATGTCGTATTTTTGTTATTTTCTTTCTTGTTGCAAGAAATGAATTCTAGAGTACTTCAATGCATGGATGAAAAGCATATTCTCTTTTGAAATAAAGTATGAATTAGTTCCATATATTTGCATTTTCTGCTTAGAATTCTTAATGGTAATTTTGTTTCTTAACTCCACTTTGTTTATACTTCCCTCCTGTTTTAATGTCTTTTTTTTCACTTTTTATTTCTATATCTTGTTTAGTGCTGGATTCCTCTCAAGTACCATAGCTGCAAGAGTGATATCTCCTCTAGATATTTGCAGCAAATGATGGCCCAAGAAGGTCCTCCCATAGACTTTAATATGACAGCGTAAGAATATGTCCATTGTCCTTTTGCACTCCTTTATGTGAATATGTAAATTACTAATTTTTTTATGTTGGTAAATCTTTGATTCAAGGTATGACTATGTTACTGCCCTGTGTCCTGGAGTGAGCAGCAACATTTTACCCAAGGGTCCTTCTAAAAGGTATTTTCTTCCTTTAATATCAAGCTTATTTAATTTTTGGCCCTTCGTTCTGGTTAACAATTTGCTATTAGCTGTTGTGCTTTGGACTAAGTCTCTTTTCCTTCAGTACCTGCAAATTTATCCATTTGTCTCTTTGCTTTTTGTTATATTCTTCCTGTCCTTGTTTCTGCCCACTTTTCAATAATGTTTATTCTTCTTATAATGCAATATTGATTTTGTTTGTTGGTTTGTACAATTGATATTGGCTTATAGTTTTGACTATCATATGTGGATGTAATTTCAGGTATCTTCTATCTTTGTTTGTGGAAGAACGACTCAAGAAACTGCTTATTGAGGTTTGTAACATCCTTAGTTTGATTTTAATTTGTTTTTTGTTGATGAGAAAGGGGCATTCAGATCCAACATTGTGCATCTTGCTTTCTATGCTTGTGTATAGTTGATTGCATTAATTTTTTTAGGATATATTCTCAATTCATAATTCACTTCTGCTATTATGTGTGTGTTAACTGTTAAGCTATTAGTGGACATATTTCTCAGCAAACTACTTGGTAGGGGTGTATATAGGATGGGTTGAGACATAGTTTATCTATATTTCTCCCTGAAATTTTCAGAGACATTTTTCCTATTCTGTAGGTGACTCAATCAAGATCTGACAATATTGGGATAGGACTGGGTTAACTTATAAACAAAATCTATAAATTTTAATAACATGTATAACTAAAGCAATGAACTAATGAAGTATAAAACTACACTTAAAGTTGATTTTATAGTATATATTTTAAAGTGAATAATATCAATATGTGCAAAATGTAATCTTTTGAGTCTTGAAGGTTAATTACTAATACGTAACTTCATAAAGTATAAATTTCAAAAAGAAAAAGAATTGGGTGGGAACAACCTAAATCTTGTTACCTGAATTCGCCTTCAAAATACATTGGGTCTAGTTTTGAAAACTCAAATCTGTCAAAGTTAACATCAGGACAGGATGGGTTAATGAGACATGTTGGGTCTTGTACACCCATGCTACCCAGACATGTGCCCCAGTCCTAAGATGTCAAACACTGCAGTTTTTCATTTTTTATACAAAAACTGTTTTTGAATTTTCAAGGTTGCTAATGGGTTTATAGTTAATATGTCATTGTTGTATATATATTTTTAACATGTGTATTAGAACCTTTCGGTGGATATTATTTTTCCTTTTAAATTAATTATTAAAGGGTTTCTTGTTTTGATCTCCCTCTCTTGCTCTCTGTTAAAGTATAACACTCATGTTGTGGCAATATCGAAACAAGAGAGAAATAAACAAGAAAAAGGAAACTGCTTATTTTGGTGGTACACTTGCAAGTTGCAACCAATGTTTTTGATATTAGACTGTTCATTGAACCAATATAGGCATTGGTTAAATTGTTGATAATTGTATATATTTTTACTGTCTAATATATTAATTAATAAATTAACATATAATCATATGAAATAGGTAATTATTTGCATTAATATGCATGGACTCAATTATGATCACAAATGGACTGAGTAAATAACAACTTCCACCAAATAATGTTGCACTATTTTATTTTGAATCCTGTTTCTGTGTTATTTTTTGTAACATCTCTAACAAAGTTCTTTATGTTAGGGTCGTCCACTTCATCGTTTTAGTGCTATTAAGCACTATGCTCCTGAATACTCTGAGGATCAACTTCTGGGATTCCTGCAGCAGCATGCAATATTGGTGCGGGGACTCTGGACTGCAAAAAGTGCATTGCTATATCCCCAGGGTGGTGTGGAAACTTTGGCTAGAGATTATGCCCTACTATTGTTTAGCAAGAATTTAAAAGTTCAGCTTTCTGATGTGAATGTTAGGGGTGAACTTGGAAATTATGTGAGAAATTTCCTGAAGATATTTGGCTTGGAAAGGTTTGATATAAATAAATCTACTGGCCAATCAATTCCTAACTGGAAGTTTAGAGAGCTTCCTGACGAGTCATTCAAAAAACTCCATCCAAATATTGTTGAAAAGCAGGAAGAAGTTTTCAAAGGTTTGGATAGACAGTTATCTAGTTTTGCTTCAAATGTTGGAAAACGCAAACTTGGTAAAAATGCTGTAGCAAACCCTAGTATGAACAACGAGCTTGTTAAATCAGAAAATTCTGATCAACGGGGAACAAGTCTCAGTGGAGGGCCTCCTGGGAAGATGACCATGTCAAATGAAACCCGACATGCTCTGCCAATTGCCCTCAAGAAACTTTTTCAGACACACAAAGTTTGCAGGTAATGTTATAGTGACAACTTTCCTTTGGTGATCTACTTTCTTGAAATGATCCCTGAGATAGTAATGTTCAGAAACACAAATATTGGTAGTTAACTTCTTAGTGCTCTGTGAAGCTTTCATAATTCAGCACTTGTGCTTTGCATTTGACAACACTCAATATTTTTCATACTCATTTTTAAAATATCAATTCTCACTTTTGACCTAAGATTTGTGTTTCCTGTTAATTTTATTTGTTGTGTTATGGTCATGTTGTATTGCATATTTTTGACGTTTGGCACGTGTGTCCTGTGTTGTATATAATACATGCTTTCTAGGTTTTAGTTTTATTCATTTTGTTTCACATTTCATTAGCCTATTCATCCATTTTGGGGTATACAGGCATGATCCACCATCCTACCTGATTTTAGAAACAATTTTTTATTGTTTAAGACCATGAGCTATGCCCTCATCCTTTGTGCATGTAACTAGTCCGCATGCAGTGTCAAGAGTTTTCAAACAATTTCTATAAAGGTAGGATTATAAAGTCCCACGAAACTGTGCTACATCACTGGGCTGTGGGGCTTATGGATGTTATCGTTTTTGGAGTGTGTATCTTATTTGGGATAGGTTTTGTGCCTTTGCCAATGGAGTTAGATCATTTTTTTATGGTTTTTTAATGTATTTGCTGAGGAGCAGAAAAAAAATGTTTTGAGCCAATTTTATTTTATGAAAACAAAACAATACAATGTTTCATAGCTGATTCCAACGTCTTGTTAGTTGGAATTTGTGTTTTAAATGGTTTGTTTCAAGTGATAGAGAATATATTGATCTGAAGAGAGATGATCTTATTAGTTGGGATTTGTGTTGCAGAAATGTGGGGCTTTGGGTCTAGGCAATTTGTTCTCTAAAAATATTTCTTTGGCAGCTTAAGAGACTGTGGTAGCTTTTGTTTTGAAACAAAATTCTTAATGGCAATTGGTTATTTGGATTAAATATGGTTTATTGGGATGGGTTGGAATGGAAATCCAGCTATCTTTGCCACTGTTGCCAATCTTGGGAAATTCACTTGTCAGGAACATACATCTTTCTGACCACTTTATCAATCTAAGCCAGGGTGATGACAATCATGTCAGGGAAAAAATCTTTGCCAGTTGACATGTCCCATGAATGGGGACTTGGCCTACATAAATTTTATATTTTTATCTATTTGTTTGGGTGTCAGTTGCCTTATGCTGCTTCTATTTATCTTGGCAGCTTCCAAATGATATGCCAAGGATTGCGTGAAATGGCTGTTTCCAAAACTATGCTTTCAAAGGGAGATTCTAAAATTGCTGTGGATGCAGCTCATAGTCTTGATGGTCCACATGATGAATTGAAGGCTATCATTAGTGAAGTTGCATGTGATATCCATGGTTATTATGTGTTGAAATCATCACAAGATGATCCTTTCAGGTTGTTCTCTCCCCTGTTTCAAGGAAAACATTATTTGCTCTCCATGAGAGGTCAAAGAATTTTTGAAAACAAGTAGCAGATTCGTTATGTAATATAATGCTCAGGACTGTATTGGTCTTTGCAGAGATGTTGTAATTGATATGCTTCGAGGAAATGGACCGAGTGCCAAGCTGAAGAAGGCAGAGATAGTGGAAGCTGCAAGGAGAAAACTCGGTAGGGAGGTCATTAACAATGAATATATCAAGGTAATTTTTAATTTTTATTTTGATTTTAAGAACTCAAATTTTACTTCATGTTTTTCATACGGTGGCTATGACATACAATTTAAATTTTATCTCAAATTAATCTGTTTTTGGTCCATACTGGTCACCCGCCCTCTTGATCAAAATTCAAAATGTTTCAACTAATTTCAATCTACCAATTATGGTTGAAATTTGTATTGAATAAAGAAGTTTTATTAGAAACAAACTAAAAGGAGGATATGGAATCCTCTACAAAAAGACATAAAGAAGATGGCATAATACTACCTGTTGAGATCCCATATTGACTGTAAATATTGCTAAAGTAGGCTTATAAATGATAAAATAATTCTCACTTTATGAGTTAGTTTATGTTAAATTATATCTAGTCTAGATTTAAAATAATATCAAAGTGTATGGTAAATTTTATATTGGCTATCCTCAAATGTAATAAAAAAGAAATCAAATTTGGTCCAATGGATTTTCCATTTCAATTAACCTGGCTCCGTGGATTCCTCAATGCGACATACCTGTGACCTAGCGGCTCTCCTGCAGCATTCTATTTAGTCTCATGGCTTTTCAATGCTACATATATTTAAAAAATTAGTCCTTCAATCACCATATTCACGATGAAGGAACTTGTTGAGGCTCCACATCAATTACAAATATAGTTAAAGTATAAAGACTTAGACAATTCTCACTTCATGAATTAATTTTTGGAGTTGAATTAGACCTAATCTATATTTAAAACTACCCAATTTCTATACAGGTTGATTTGTAATATCCTCAAGTACTTTCTTTCTTTTAGGCTCTATATTGACATTTTGATTTCATGAGATGTCATAGTAAACAAATCCAATTGCAATTATGTCCTTAAACTTTGGAGTATTGTACCATGTAACACGGACCTTTTCAGTGCTGCTAACAATGAGTTGATTGCCATATTAACGTTGCATATTTGCAGTTGAAGATGTTGAGCTTTTTGTTTCTGGATTTGTAACTTAGGGGATCTTGATAGTTTTGCACTTTAAATCAAAGATTAATAGCCTGTATAATGACATCCTCGCATGCTAAATATCTGCCCAATTAATTCAGCTGCTAGGGCGGGTGGTCAAGTTAAATTTAGTGTTTTAGCAACCAAATCGAAAGTATTAAACTAAGCACTTGATCGTCATAATCTGCTTTTGATCCATTTTTAAATTTAAAAGGGTATTAGTAATTGACACGTATAAAGCTAGCAAGTTTTATTCCATATATGCGTGTTCACTTGGACTGTTTGTGGCTAGGGTTAGAGATTGAAGTTTTTATTTGTTTATTTATTCACTAATTTGTTAACGACAGAACATTGCGTATTCGAACGTGGAAAGGAAAATAACTAGAGTAGAAGCAAAGGAACCTGGCACAACCTAAAAGGCTTCAACTGGCTTTCTCTAAATAACTAAAGGGATTAGTTGCTTCATAACTTGATCAATTGCGTTAAACAAGATTGTAAAGTAGAATGAATGTTGCCTGTGCAACATATTAATTGAAATATCAAATAATGATAATGATCTTAACATGGATTGACAACAAATAGGCATTGCAATATCATTCATAAATTTTATCATGCTTTTTTTCTTATCAATCAAATATTGCTTGTTATCCTAATGGTGGTTTTGTTTGTATTTTACCAATTTCAGGTCATGAATGAGTTGTGTGTCTCGAGAGGTTCTGTTTGGGTCTTGAAAAGCGGTGATGGAAGTATGCAGTAATCCTGAAGAATACGTAGTAAAATTTTGGATAATCACATGACTCAAGTTTCTTTACTTTCTCACATAGTAAAATTTTGGATAAAAAGTTTTATTATTGTAACTTTCCTTCCAACCACTCATTCCACTTAAACAATCATTTTTCATGCACCAAGGGTTCACTCCATACACTTTTATGTGTAGTTTAAGCCGTACACATAACAAGAGTTTCATGATTATCATCAAAACATATTAAAATAACATCATTATAAGAATTATTTCAAAATTGTTTAAATTATTCATTATGATATTACTTGATCTATTAAGTGTTTCAAACTTTGAAAAAAAAAATACTATCAATTAAAAAAAAAAACTCTACCAACTAAAGAGAGAAGTTATATAAACTACTATATGAATACAACTTTAAAAAGTGGTTTAACATGGCAAATATTCTCAAAAGTATTTTAGAGATCGATTCAACCAAGAATTAGTCTCTAAAGTCTACTTCTAATTGAGGTTGCCACGTTGAATCAATTTCTTAAGTGACTTTTAAGAATAGTTGTCTCATTAACCGTTTTTCAAAGTATACTTAAAGAGAACAATTATTATATGAAACTACTCCCTAAAGTGACTTCTAAGAGAAATTATGAAAATATCCTTTAAAGTTTGACACACTTGCATAACGTATTTTTTTAGAGCAATTGAAATTGTTTTCCAACATAAGGCAAAATCACTCTATAATTTCATTTCCAATGTAGTGTTAGAGTCAAAATTTTAATACTATTTTTTACTAGATTGAGTATTTTATCTAAATAAGGATAGATTAACTTCTTTCTAAGTTTATGAATTAGAATGTGAAAGATTTCTGATCAATGATGATTGTGCTAATTTTCCAAATTTAAAACAACACTTATGTTTTAAATAAAAAGCAAAGTTTTATAAATTGACTAACTTTAACCATAATTATTTCATAAGAATTTGTCCTTCCTAGATAATAAAATATGCCAAATATATTCTTCAAAAATCTATAATTATTCTATTACATTGAATGACAATGATCCTTTACAAATTAAAATAAATACAATTTTAATATCCAACAAGTATTATTTTTATCTTTGACAAAAACTAATATTTCACTTCAACTCTTTTGGAATATGTAAAAAGGGGGGAGGAGGAATTCAGAGTTAAATGAAATGAAGATATTTAGTGGAAGGATCTTTTTGTAATTTATTAAAGTATATAGTAATTATTTTATAAATAAATAGAAATAATTGAAATTAATCAAAATTATTAGTATTTGATTAAAATAAATTATAGAACTTAAAATGAATAAAAACTAATTATGTATGTAGTTTTTGAACAATAAAGTATCAGTATATTTTTATAAAATAAAATTCTAAAAAAATTTGTTAAAGTTATATAAATTAAGTTTATAGTTTATTAAGTTTATTTGTTAAATATAAAATCTTAGAGAATTCAAGAATAAGAAACAATATATTTTCATAACAAGTTTTATTTTGTTTTTGTAAAAGTGAACAAACTCCCAATTTACTTCTCTTCAATAAAAGTGAAGTGACTTTTAAAAAATAAGAGTGATTGAACTTTATAAAATTGATTGAATCTAAGAATGCTTGAAGTTATCTAAAATTGTTTGGTGAAATTGTAGTTAATGTTTTGAAAAGGTTTGAGTAACGATTGGTATAGATGATAAAGACAATTTAGTGCATACTCCGACAAGAGATCAAGACTAGTTACCTTGTATTTGGATGATGATTAGCAAAGTTATGCTTATCGACGCATAAATTCACCAAGATTAGTTGGAGTGTGTATTGTTAAAAGTTACCATACATTAGGATGTGCATAATGAATTAAAAAATGGTTTAAATACCTTTTAGCGACCTCCAAATAGGGCTTATTTCAAAAAACTACCTTAGAATTTTTTTTTTCATTTTAATGTTTAACTAATTTTTTTTTAATTTTATATCTGACATTAACTTCCATCAATTAAATGGTAACATGTCACTGTCAATCTCTTTCATCTACTTCACCATTAAACCACCATGTTAGGATTTTACATTAGTATTTTTGAATTTAAAAAAAAAAGAAAAAACCAAAAAATAGAAATTTAAGTGCGTAGTGTTAAAACTTGAGGAAATGTTAAAGAAGGAAAACTTAAACCACCATTGGGCAGTTACTCAATCTTGATCTTCAAGTGAAATATTTTCAAATAGAAAGTAAAAAATCGTTGAACCCTTTATCTGACATTGTAGTTTGTTTCTCATCTTCATTTTCACCTTTGCTGTTTTTCATTTTCGAAACAAACATCGGCGTTGTTGTTTTTTCCTTGTTTCTCAAGCATTGTGATTGTTACCAAAGGCAACATTTTACAAAGTCAATCTTGCAACTCCCTTTGCTGTTCTAGAAAGTACCGATTCTTGAACAAAGAGTAATACAAAGCATCGTTGTGGACATTGTCGATATTGTTGAAGGTAAATGTTATTTGATTAGATTATTGCGAGTTAGGGTTTTCTTTCGTAAATTTTTGTTTTACCTGACACGAATATTTGTTCCTTTTTATATGTAGATGGCTTTCAATGTTATAATTCATCACGAGGGTCATTTTGAATTGGACCTCGTGATGCACTATGTTAAGGGCAAAGAGATTGTTCCTGTAAAGAATATTGATATGGACAGGTAGTCGTACTTTGAAGCGCTTGGAATTTTAAAAGAAGACTTAGGTTACGGAGAGCACCCTATGAGGATATGGTGGAAATTTAGTCCTTCTGACTTCAAGGAAATCAATTGTGATAGTGTAGCTCTAGACATGACTAATTTTTTCATGTGTAACAATGTGGAGGTTGAAATATATGTTGTTTGTGAAGGAGGCAACGAGGGTGTTGTTAGGGACAATTTTCCTAGTAGTGATGCGGAATCTCTAAACGAAATTCATTTAGATGAAAGTGAAGAGGATAGGGCTGGTGACATGGATGATGGATTTGATAGAGATGTTCCAAAATTTGGGCAAGTAAAAGGTAGAAGGAATAAGTCATTTGCAAAGAAAGTGAATGAAGATGTTGAGGCTTAGGAGATAGATGTTGCTCAAAGTGTTCATCAACCTGACAAAGTCAATGTTCGTGTAGAGGTTGTCTGGATCTCTAGGAATGAAGATGTTGCTCATAGTGTTCATCAGCCTGACAAAGTCAATGCTCAGAGTGTGCAACATATGAACAACTTTGGAGGGCTTACATGCAACAGATTAGAGATTTGAATAAGGCTGCCTACTGGTGGCTATTTAATCTCGACAGGAGAGCATGGTGTAAGCATAAATTTTCAAGTTACCTAAAATGTGATATACTGATGAATAATCTAAGTGAAGCATTTAATAGCACAATTCTGATGCAAGGGATAAACTAATTATTACAATGTTTGAGTAGATAAGGATATATTTGATGAATAAGTTTTCTAACCTTAGGGAGAAAGTTAGTTCATACAGGGAACGAATTATGCCTAAGCCTTTAAAATGACTGGATAGGGAAGTTGAAAAATCAAGGAATTAGGTAGCAAGTTGGAGAGGGTATTGAGACTTTGAAGTGACCTATTTACATTCTGGTGATGTCTTATTTTCGCACATTTTCTTATCTGTTACTCATTACAAAAATAGGGTAGTTATTTACCAAATTTGAAAATTTAAGGTAGTAATATGAAAAGAATTGAATTATGGAGGTAGTTAAACAAAAAATTTTCATATTTATAGGTACTTTATGCAACACTCAATTTATGGATAACGACAACACATAACAGAGAACTCTAACCTTCTTTTTTCTTTTCTGCTTCTTCTTCCTTTCGAGTTCATCTTTAGCGTCTTCGTTTTGTGCTTCTTTTTCAATTAGGGTTTTAGATTTGACCCTTTTTCCCTCATGTCACCCAAAATGCAACGTTTAGGTTAAAATTCAAAAATGCTAATGTGGAATCCTAATGTGATAGTTTAATGGTGAGATGGATGAGAGAGATTGACGGTGACGTGACAAACTGTTAGCCATATCACCATTTAACTGACGGAGGTTAACGTCAGGTATAAAATTGAAAAAAAAATTAGTTAGACATTAAAATAAAAAATAAAATTTTTGAGGTAGTTTTTTGAAATAAGTCCTATTTGGAAGAAGTTGAAAGGTATTTAACCTTAAGAAATTGATGTAAAATGTAACATCCTCAATTTTATTTCTCAAATTACAACATTTATTCTTATATATAACTGGGATAAATAATATAGACTTCACATTTAATGATAGTAAGAAAAGATTGTACAAGGAAATTTAAAAATTTTCTACAAATAAAGCCATTTCCAAAATTCATTGTCAACATAATATGATAAATAAAATGGACTATAACTTAATGATCATAGTATTCCAAAGTAATGAAGGAAATATAGATATTGAACTTTCATTACATATACTAAGTGTAACAATTTACAAATTGTTCATCAAAACATATGGAACTTAGAACAATAATTACATAACCAAAATAAACCAAGTCCTAAAGCAGTCCTAAGCTATATCCAAAATACTAAAAACTCGGTGTTAGTCATCACCATGCCATCCTTCTATTTCTACTAAATCTTTGGAACCAAGATCCTCATCTGACCTGAGATAGAGATCTCTAGAGTTAATTGCGACCTCTGCACTCGGAACTTGCTCAAAAGTAACTCAGGTCGGTCCTCCAAGAAGATCATGATCAAGATAAGCACACAGGTAAGTCACAACTGCTGAAGTCCTCATCGTACCTCTATAAATATTTATACATAAGGTATGGTGGATCCTATTATTTCCAGAAAAATATAAGGGAACACTATAATATAATTCTATTTCCAAAATGTAAATACGACTGAGCATGTTATCACAATCTATGGCCAGCTTAAAATAATAGAATCTTTGATACTCATTAAATATATAATTTAATCTATAATGTACAAAACTATCTATCAATTTAATTCTCTCTTGGGGTGTCGTCATCCTAGTTCCCTGAAAATTTTAGTAAGGATGAGTATCTATTCTACCATTTTACAAACCATATTATAGAAAATCATAGTTATGACATAAAACATAATCATTTCAACAACTAATTAACAGAATAACAACAATAATCACATAGTCACATCACACGAATTTGTCATAAATTATTTAATTTCTCTCATTCAAACACGCACTCACTGTGTTCACAGAAATACGATTTCTCTAGCATTTATTAAGGTCTTACTCAACTAGGTAAATAATCGTCAGTTAACCCATGCACACGACTACAACATATACAATAACGACCCCTTAGCAAAGGTATAGTCAGACGTCTAGTCAGGAAACGAGTATGAGGTCATGTGGCACATTCGCTCTCAGAAATAGTGTGTACACATACGCGAATGTCGTTTATTACCTTATGTTTTCCCAAATTTTCCATCGTATTTAGACTCTATACCTTTAGTGTATCACTGTGACTATTTACACTAGATTTATTCCATATTCAGCACTTTTCCTCATCCAATAATCCTTTCATTCTCCATCCATAAGGTTGTGCTTAGTAAAGCACTTTCGGACTAAGTCCCAACTCACTCATAATATCAACATATAATTTACGTAGTCAAGTCATTTACATATTATCCATACAATCTGAACATTTCAATCAATAGATACATCATATCCAGTATATCCAATACACATCATCATGCTTCAATATAAACACCACATGGTTACTCAACTAACCAATCAAACACGTATATCATTAGTTTTTTTTTTACTCAAACATATATTCTTATGCATGATCATATAACAATGTCTTCATGAACACAAAATATACACTTAACTAATATGATAAAATAGAGTCATCCTTAGCTCCAGGTGAATATTTGGAGAGAAATTGATTAAGACTATAGTTCAACAAAGGATGTTTTCCTGAATATTATAAGATACCCTTTGAGAAATGAAAACAAGAAAAATAAATGGAAAAAATAGAGTTGAACCCAGAGAAACTTACTTGGAGTCGCTTAGATTTGACGTTGAAGTTCGAATTCGAGGAGTGATAGGAGTTTGATGAGGTTTTATCTAAGAGAAGAGAGTGAGAGTTCGAAGAAAGTTGAGAGAAGACGTAAGGTTTGGAGTGAAATGAAATTTTCATGCTGGAAATCTCTTAAATACCCCTCAGTCCTGCGCGCTCTTGCTTGAACAAAGCAACCATTGCTTGAGTGAGACAATGTCCAGAGAGTTGAACATTTTTCTTGTGAATTCTCACTTGAGCAACTTAGTTTGCCCAAGCAAGATCTCTACTCGCTTGAGTTAGATCACGTCTCAACTAAGCCAGATGACAGTTAGGCCAAGCCTATCGTGTCTCGCTTGAGCGAGATTGTCCTAAAAACATGTAGTTCTGGGCGCTTGAGCAAGATCTGCCTTGCCTGAGCGAGAACCCTTGCACCAAAACTCTAATAAACATCATTCTAATCAATTTAAAATATATCTTAACACTACCCAATATTAAAACAATTTATCAAATAATGAATAAATAAAAAGAGAATGTTAGATAAAATATGGCATTACTTGGAAAGTAGGTACAAAACTTTCAATCAACTTAACCATAAAAAACAAAAAAGAAAAAAACTACTTCGTGGAGAAAATTTGTTAAATGAATCTATAGAAATTTATATTGCATTGCATTAGAATTAACATTAAAAATTATAAGACATAATATGATATAGAAAGCATTAAGTTTTGACAATTCTTTAACATAATATCAAAATTAAGAATATAATGACTTTGCATTCATATCTTATGTGTTATTGCTTATTATTCTATTAAAAGCTTGTATAACATTCTTTATTTTAATGTTTAGTTCAATTATCAAATTAATTTAAAACTATACTTACCATTTCTATGTTTGTGTGAACCATGTTCCCACCGCATCACCTTCCGAGTTTTTAGTAGGAAGATGAACAGAATCATACAACTCAAATGATATTTTGTAAAAAATTTATCACTTATTCTGTCAATATAAGATGATAATATGTTAGAAATAACATAATATAATAATAAATATGATGAAATGTGTTAAATCTTATAAATCCCAGTTGTAAAAATTTTAGACTCCAAATATACATATCTAATAGTATTGTTATAGTTTAACAATAGTGATTAGAATTGTGACATTTAATCTATTGCGATTATTTATTTGAAAACATTATAAAAACAAAATAAATCTTAATTCAAGTAAATAATAAAAGAAAATAGTAAATTAAAACTGAACGACTTATTAAAAATTATATTTAGCAAAACTTTCACAATACTCACTTTTCAATTATCTAATAGTATTGTTATAGTTTAACAATAGTGATTAGAATTGTGACATTTAATCTATTGCGATTATTTATTTGAAAACATTATAAAAACAAAATAAATCTTAATTCAAGTAAATAATAAAAGAAAATAGTAAATTAAAACTGAACGACTTATTAAAAATTATATTTAGCAAAACTTTCACAATACTCACTTTTCAATATTATTTTTAATAAACTTCATTTTTCACACTTACTTATAATACCCACCTTTAGTTTTTCTTTTTTTTTCTTTCTTTATCATTACATTATTTATTATATTTATTATGTAATTTTTTTATTATATGTTCAAAAATATATATTAAATATTAAAAAATTTATTAAAAATTATAATATTCAATATTATTAATATATTAAATTCTGTTATATCTTATTAATTTTAATAAAAATATGGTATACATAAATTTTAAATTTTGTTATGACTAAGTTCAAGTATTTACAAATAAAAAAATTATTAAAAAAAATAAATAATTATTATATTAAAATTATAAAAATATAATAAATACTTCTCTTTTAAATAAAATTTTATTATTATTAACTACTTATGCTTTAAAAATTGAAATTAACAAAATCATAAATTTTTATTATGTCTCGTTAAAATACCGTGTATTGTTTTCTTGCTCTCCTTCAGAATCTGTCTCGGAAACGTGTATACATCTGATTGAGTGAGAAAACATTTCCCATTGCAAAACCCATTTTGTAATTTGAATGACATGTATTATTGTTGAGTTTCTTAGGATAGGAATAGAAATATCATGATTACCAATACTAATTTAGCTTCATTGAAGGGAGGTTGAAATCAGAATGAAATGGTCCATGAGGAAGAACGATATTCATAAGAAAGATATTCATCAGGAAAGAACAAACAAAAGGTTGTGAATCCTTGCCATAAAATAAAAGTCTCTATTCCCATTGAAAGGGAAAAAGTTGAGGGGCTTCATTGCACTGGGATCCATCAGAACCCAAGTTATACATTGAGGAACAATGGTCACTCCCATTGGGAACCAAGACACGCTCCACCGACTCTAAGCTGCTATCTTGCAAGCTGAGGCCTAAGGATTGCATAAGGGACATTGAAGAAGGTTGCACCACCATTTGGTTCAAAGGTGTGTGTGTCTGTGATGATGACAGAAGAGAGAGAGCACAGGGGGAGTCGTGAACTGAAGTTGTTAAGCTATCACACAACATTTTGCTTCTAACCCCACAAGTTTCTGATAAAGGGTTGCTCCTCACAAGTGTGTGGCACACAGAAGCAGCTTCAAAAGGTGGGGTTTGGCTGTTGTCACATTGTAAGAACGCTAGTTGCTTCCCTTGATCTTTATAGCTGCTTAGAGAAGACCCAAGAAAATGCACTTGCTGGTTGTGGCTGTGGTTGTGAAGCCTAGCATCTGCAGAGGAAGTAACAAGTCCTCCACTCCAAGTGGGGTTCACCACTGCAGTTGAAGGATATACATGTGCACTTGAGAACGGTAGCAACTGGGTGCCTGAAAAAAGTAGTAGTAATTCTTACATCTCGGAGGGAATGAGGAGATGAAAAAAAAAATTAAAATATATTTAAAATTAATACTTTTTTAAGATAAAATATATAAATTAATACATTAACATAAATCTTATGTATCATCGTAAATAATATATAATTATCTTAATTTAAAATTAAAAATATATGTTTTTATCACCAGTATCCTCCAAAATCTCTCTCACCTGCTTCTATAAGGGAGAGAGAACGTCTTGAAAAAAAAAATGATGTGAATTTTTAAGTGCTGATTGAGAATATATCATTATGAGTGTGTGTTGACCATAGTTACCAGGAATGTGATATGGTATGGGGACAAGAAGACTAAGGCAAATCTGGTATGCTGTACATGAATCAGATATTCAGTAATTGATAGGTAACGTTGTTGAAAAAATCCCGTAACTTTGGTCTTGTGAAGGTGCTATCTACAAATTTTCCCAACCAAGATATTCGAAGCATCAAAGATGTGATGTTAATTTCAGCAATAGAAACAGTAGATAATTTCTACGGTCGAGATTCCTCTCTCAAAAGCAAAATCTTTAGAGGGAACTCTTATCTTAGTCTTATTTTAATTTTTCATTTTATAAAATATTTATTTTAATTTTATAAGATGCGATTTATTTTAGTTATATTTATGCAAAATTGGAAATAAAATTAAAGAAAAAATATTTTTTTTATAAAATTAAAGATTAAAATAAAAAAATTATAAATTAAAATAATCGGTGCTTATAATCTCTAAGATTATGATGGCAATTGACTCGAAATGTTTTTCATTTTTATTGGTCTATGAACTGACATATTTTAGTGGCCACTAGATTGTCATGTGTAGACATAAATGGACTAAATGAACCATATTAGGCAAGTTGGCAGCGCACTCATGTAGCTAAGTGCATTGTTTTCACACGATCTTTCTTACTCTTTGGGATTGATGTATGTCCCAATGTGGGAATTTTTAGCAAATGCCTGCATGAAATCGGGGCATAATATATGCATATTGGGTCCATTTCATTCAGATAATGTGGTAGAAATAGAAGCTAACCTTGGTAATTGGACAAAAAACTACCAGGTCTCGTGAGGGGTTCAGGCTGAGGCTTTCTTCTCCTTCTGTTGTGTCCATCTAAACGTTTTCTGCAGCTTCTTTTTCTTTCATCAAATTCCTCCAGCGAATGGAACCTACAAAAAATGGTAAGTTTCATGAGATGAGGAACTTGAGGCATGTAAATGTAGAATCAAGCAAACAAAAATCACACGCACATGAAACTTAGTGGTGAAAATTATTTACCAAGGATTCACCAGAAGTTCAGGTAATATACACACGGTATATTAACAGAACAATACAGGCAAGTCATTCTCTTAGATTATTCTATGAAAACTTTTGTAATTTTGTTCCATGCACTGAGATACTTTTTCAGCTTCTCCATATGGTGGATAAAAAGTAAAACATAAACACAAGGGTTTTGAATTATATAGAACACTAAATTTTTAAACTGAACTAACCATAAACTAGTTTTTTTGTCGGCGTGAGACTGATGCGATTAAATAAATTTTTAAAGTGAAGATAGGTTTCTGATGTGTTGAAATTCTTTTTGGTATAGGAATCTTGCATGCAGCTCTTCTATAGAACGCTAACTTAAGATGCTATCGGTAGCAGAAAGCAAAAGAAAGTAATTTGCTCGCGTATAAGTACTTGTGAAGCTAACATGAATAATGCAAATGACATAGACAGATAAAAAAAAAGCATGCACGAATAGAACTTAAAAAGTAATTTAGGACTTAAATAAATAACTTAATTTCAAACTAAACAATAACACCCTCATATGTCTGTTACATGATATGATACACACCTGCTACACTGTTGGCAAAACCTTTGCTTCAAGCCCCCAATTGTGACCTCTGGAGTCTTGGAATGTAGTTCACAGACCTTATGGCGCCTATGATAATCTCTACAATTACTAAGATCAGAATTGCACCCATCAACAAGGCATGACACTGTCATGGTTGCATTGTTAATGGCTCTAGCTCTCTTAGAAGACCCTGAAGGTGAGGATGCCACTTTGGAGATACCAACACCAACACCAGCAGCATCTTTAGACTTGACATGCACTGATTCAGTGCCAGAATTCCCCACCTGACCAAGCTTCAAGTCAACAGAAAACTCCCCTTTCATTCTATAGACTCCAAATCTGCTTGGCTCCTCCATTGTTCCTATGTTGGGTATGGTTGCCTTATCCACATCCCCCAATTCCCAAGAAGGTGCTTTCAAATTCCAGTCCATAACAAAAAGGGGAAAAAAGAAAAATAGAAAAATCCCACTTTTCACCTTTGCTTCTTCAAAGTCCCTCTTTGTTTAGTTACCTTCTACATATGCCATAACATATAATTCGCAATTGCATGAAAGGCAAAGGCAACAACAAATTTCAACAGTGAGCTTGTAGAAATGACCAGTTGCATATAAATATTTAAACACTAAGTCACTAATAAATGGAACCTAATTTAAATTAACAAGCCAAGTAAAAAAAAATGTGTGAATAACAGCCCAATTAAACAAGAATAGAAAGTGGTAGCATATAGAGGAGGAAATTAAGTAAAACTAAACAGCCACAAACAGACACTTATTAAGACAAAACACATTGGACAAGTTTTTGTCCGTACTAGGGAGAAACCTGCATCAGAGGGTTTGTTTACTATGCATAATTAAATAAAGACTTGACTCCCTAGCAGTCAAATAGCAAGAGCTCCAAGAAAAATGGAACCAAAAAATTCAGGTTACCAAACAAGGCATAATGAAGCAACCACAAGCATGAAAATAGAAAACAAATAAATAAAAAGTCATTGAAAGAAGGAAGAGAGTACTCTACTTGCAGATAACTGCAGCAGAAGGATGCTTACTCCTTCCTTCACCGACCACTCGTTCCCTGACATGGATTCCATGAGTACCCAATGGAGTGAATAGTAGAATTAAAAAAATATTTTTTTAAAAAAATTATTATTTTTTAATTGAATGATTGAGAGAGTATTGTGTGTTATGTGAGAGGGAATCCCAAAATCCATACCTGCTAGCCACTTAAAGATATGAAATATTGGATTGGTGCACACAGTTGAATGGATAATGTATTGAAAGTTGATACACAGAGAGAGAAGGAAGTGAGAGAGTGAGAGAGTGAGAGAGAGAGAGAGGGGGGGGGGGGGGGAAGAGAAGACCCAATGAAAGGCTAAAAAGTTCTGGATGATATGCTCCTTCTTACAAGTTCAACCAAATATTTTAATATTTTATTTTGCCAAAAATAGGGGCTTCTTCTCTTCCCAGTTTGCGTAGGTTGAGAGAGAGAAAGGAAAGGGAGATAGATAATAAGGACAGGCTGTTGGTTGCTTTCAACTTTTATGAGTCAGGAAAAAGAAGTACAAAGAATGGATGCTCAAGACAAGGCATGTGGCATTATGTTTCACATTTCATGGCATGTCTTTCTCCCCCTCACTTTTCCTTCATCTATTTACTCCTAGAATGACCAAAAATTAAAACCACACTGTTACAATTAAATAGCCCACACCCCTGGCAGCAAGAGTTGCCTAACAAAAATACTTCAAATTTCAAATTCTAATTTGAATTGTTCATGTTAATTTAAACATTGAGAAAAATGGGTACTTTGTTAGAGTGAGTGTTGGTAAAAAAAATTTCTAAATATGTTTAGTCGTGTCTAATTGTTGTGGTGGAGTGGAGTTTCTTGGCAGAGGGCTAATGATGAGTGGTGTATGTGGGGCCATGTAGTAGACGTGCACTATTAATTTTGAGGGCTCCAGGTTTAGATACTTTGCTGATTTAGGCCACAACAAACTATAAGACCCCATGAAACGTTCATATGCATAAACGCCTCGACCATGTGAGCATTTTTACTCCTCCTTGTCTTCAATGGGGACTCTATCTGCGATGCTGATATGAATTCTAGTGTAGGGACTGCGTAATTAGTATTTATGATTCTGAGAGGATTCATGTTGCGTGTATGTAGTACATCAGCTACATCATTTTTCTAAGTCAACTGTTTTATTTTCTCTTTCTTTATCTAGTTTCCTTTTTTAAATGGGATTTTTCTTTAATTCCGAAAAATGTAAAGAAAAAAACATTGTTGAAATATTTGTTCTTCTTAACGTTTCGTCCGGGGTCATTTTCTTGGTCCCGTAACATCACTGTTCGCGTTGCTCAATAAACGCCGCAGATACTAGTATACGTGTGTTTCTGTGTGAATATATACCGTGTACGTATTTATTTATTTATTTATTTATTAAATCATTGTCACGTTGAGTCAAAATTAATGATTTATCAAACCTCCATCGTTCTTCTAACTTGTAGGCTTTTAGCTACAACGTAATCTTTAACAGCCTATTTCAAAAGCATTATTAACTAAGTTCAACAGCAATTAAAGAATAATAACTTTCATATAAACTGCTTCGAAATTTTATTTTTTTTTCTTTTCAACAGAGAAACTAACAGGCATTGAAACTTTCTTCTTTGCTTTTCAATAAAAACCCAAAAAAAAAAATGAAATGAAAAACATAAGTGTAGATGGAAGCAATACAGAAACCATTGTGATCATGAGTTCAATGAAAAGTCGTCCCAGTAGATTTATCTTTGGATGTAATTGAAAATACATTAAAAAAATATGAAAAATTATTTTAAAAAGTTGTTTTAAGTACCCTTTTCCCCAGAGAAAAGTATTTAAGCTTTTTAAAATGTAATTTTAGGAATATATAAATTAATTTATGTTTTAAAGCCTAATTGTTTTAACTTTTTTCATGAAAATATAATTTTATTATCAAAAATAGTTTTAAAAAATTAGTGTGTTTATATTTTTGAAAAATCAGAATCAGAAAAAAAAATTGTAATTACTTTGAAAGTTTTTTTGCTTAACTTTTGAAGAAAAGTAATAATATAATTAACTTTCAAAATAAAGAAAAAATTTATAATTGTAACCAAATAAAGTATAATTTTATATCAAATTACTAAATAATATTTTTTTAAATTACTTATTTCAAAAGTGTTAATAAATATGTTTTAAATTTTATTAATCGAACCATTAGATTTTGCTTTTTAATTAAGTAAAACAACTCTATGAAATTATTTAAAATTCTTTAAAATTTCGTCAATTAAATATATTTTGAATGTATAGCATATTTTTTAAAATATAAGTAAATGTTAAAATAAAATTATCTATTAAAAATTTTTAATTTATATACAAATTGATATACATAATCATAAAATAATATCACATAATAAAAAATTAAAATATATATTTAATAAAATTTTTAAGCAAAATAAATTTGTAAAAGAAGTAGACTTCTAAAACTTGATTTGGTGTGGGAAAAGTATAAAATGCTAGGTCTGCAAAGGTAAACTAAACCCAATACTTGCCACAGTATTGCAAGTAATCTTGAATTACGTCTATAACGAAGATGACCCAAAACATGATGCTTGCCACACAGTACCGTACGTGATCTTTATGTCTCCAAAGACCAAATATATTATTAGATTTTAGCGATTGTGAATGGTCAGAATACCCATGTACATAAAAATTAGAAGGAAAAAAAATAAAGAGTTCTACAGCATACTGGTATTATGCATGTTTAGATGTTATCCCTTTGTTAAGATATTGCATAATTCAACCTGGTATTGTTAACATTTTTCTTAAAGGGGTAAATTATATTTTTATTTTTATTTTTTCATTTTCAAAACTTGTTTTTCTCATATTTTATATTACTAAATTCTTCTACTATTTGAGTTAAAGTAAAAAACAAAAATCTTTAAATTTCATTTTCTTTACTCAATTTAGTTATTGTTTTAGGTTTGTTTTAATTACAGTTATAATTGCCATTATATTTTTATTTTGACTATTTTTTAAGGGATTAAGTAATGCAAAAAAAACTTACATACACACACACATATATATATATATAAAAGTTTGTGAAAGTGTGAAATTATATTTAAGAAAACAAAGCATAATTTATTTTTACAAAATAAATCTAAAAACTTAATGATGTAAAAATTAATTTCAAAAATTAATATAAAAAATAGTTTATTAAAAATATATTAAACAATGATTATAAGGTTTTTAATCCACATATTCACATTAAGATTATATATATTCACCTTTGATGAAGAGTAAAGTTACATATTCCACTTACTTATATTTTTGTAAGTAAACAACATAAGTGAAGCATTCAACTTATCCATGTCATAGAATATTTAGATAAGCCTATTATCTCACTTGTTGAGGGTCTAAAGTTCTACATTGAAAATATATGTTAAATAGTGAGGTTTGATGCATAGATATATAGAGGTAACATTTATCTCACGATAAAAGAGAAATTAAAAAAAATAAAAAGAAAAATTTATGTTTTGTCTTGTATATAATTTGATTGGAGATGAGGCTTATGTCTTATTTGAAGTTTCAAGCTCTAACATAACTATATATTATCAATTTGATAGAGAGAACTTATTTTAGTAGAAGATAAAATTTATTTAAATTTTGATATTATCATGCAATTGCTTGCATGTAATTTGTTAATTACATTTCAAAAGACTTAGTCCAAGCTGAGTACTATTTATCTATAACCAAATTTCAATAACTTATGATTTATGTTTATAAAAAATATAATAATCTGATTCTTTTGCAAGAAATCAACCGTTCTTGCGATATATGTTCATGTTATTAGGCTCAAGTTGTAGCCTATAGGTCTACCTTAAATGACAAAGGCTTTTATTTTGGAAGGCCTAAAAAATATAAGAGAAAGATTAATATTAGTCAAAGAATTAATCAACAAAAATGTATAGATAGCACATAATTATTAGGCTTAAAAAGTGTAGAAGTTTAGGACATAACATAAGTACATGTAAATATATAATTATAGTAAATAGAATATTTAAATCATTACTTTCAACAACAACAAAAACTATTTGTATTAAAAAAAATAACAGTTTAACAGATGATATCAATATTTGGTAATAATTATATATATATATATATATATATATATATATATAAAAGTTTGTCAATCGTATATAAGAAATGTTTAATGATGGATATAACTAACTAAAACATATTTTGAATTAGTAAATGCAATTAGTTGTGGATTCTTTAAGTCATTCAAAATATTAAACAAAATAGGATTAGGATTCTTGTAATTTTAAATGAAGATCATAATATTGACTAAGTTTGAGAAATAAGGAAGGTCACCCAACATGTTTAGTTTAAAATGTTGTCATAGCATTTACTAAGTTTTAAAAATAATGATGTGGTGAAATTAAGTAATAATTATATATCTACATATATTAGTAAAATAAATAAATAGTCATTTAAACTTTTTTTGAACAGAGAGTAATCAAAGGATGATTAAGTGAATTACTTGTTGATTACGTTGGAGAATTTTTAAAATTGTATTGAGAAGAAAAAAATAATAATAGAACTTGTATAAAAAGAATAAAATTTTATTTTTATGATCATAAAATTTAAAGAAAATGTATTTATATATTGAAAACTTTCTAATACCATACTGAGAAGAGAAAAAAAGTAATAATATAATTTATATAAAAAAGAATAAAATTTTATTTTTGTGATCACAAAATTTTTTTTAAAAAATATTAATATTTATATAAGTTATACATGATTTTCATCAAGATACATCAATACCAAACTAATTATAATATAATTAATTTGAATGTTTATTATAGAAATTCTAATACTTTTTGTAAAAGATGAAGGTTTTATGTTTGACAAGCCTAACTTAGTTATTGGTTAAAATGATATTCAAAATAAGTGTACAAATGGCTTTCGAAGTAAGTCTAATAACATAAGTTCATTTGGACGATGAGAGCATCATATATAACTACTCATCAATCCATAAATCTATATAGTTGTCCAAATGGTCTTTAGTCAATATTTAGTAATAAAATGTTAGTCATCCTATTTATTTAGGACTTTAAACTAAATGTCTCGTGTACACATTGTAATCTTCTGGTTAATAAAACAAAAGATAACTAGTTGGTTAGTCTTTATTTATCATAAAACAAACTACATAATATATGTATAGTTTTATTTGAAACTTACATCAAGCCAAGTGATTGAAGTATTAATCACTACATAATATGCATAATTTATTAGTCATTGTCAA